AAGTAGCAGAAAGTCAGTAAACAAATTAAAACTTAGACAAAACCCTAATACTAAAAATCGATAGGCAGCTATTACTCCCCGGCAACGGCGCCAAAAACTTGATAGGGCTCAGGTTTTACCCAAATAAAAACTACTGCAAATGCACAGCAAAGCAGTCGTAGTATAAGGGGTTATCAAATCCCAAGGGAGTAAGTAAACTACACTATCGAATGTAGATTCAGATTAAGCTAAGTAATAAGTAATGAATGTAATGCGAAATAACTAAAGTAATAAAAGAAAGTGGGCGTTTTTGAGACTGTTCTTAAAGTTCAGAAGGCTAAAGGCGCTAAGTCAGGACAGTTCGCAGGTTGAATCCGAGAGTGTAGAATGCATGCAATCAGGAATAAATTAAAACCGTCTTGAACATGAATCACAAAGATATAACTAATCAATTCTCTTTGCAGAAGTTATCTATGTCTAAATCACAGAGTTTCAAATCTCTTTGCAAACCCTAACAACCTAAACATGCAGTAATGATCAGGTTCAATTGTTCACAAAACTCCTAAGCCAAATCTCTTTGCACTAGGGCGTTTTGCTCATCTAATACTAGTTCAGATGATTAATAATGCTCTCACATCTATCAAACAACCTAGGGTTTCGAAATCCAGATGATGTGTCTAAGAAATCGATATGAATGTAAGCACAGATGAAGAACCAATGAATTTCCTAAAAGTTTTTAGCAATTCTACAAACTCTTCTTCAACCCTTGAAAAATCCCTAACTTAACTAAAAAACTACTCAGACATGGTGATTTGAAAAAACATCATGAAAAGAATAGATTGCATAAAAGAAATAAGAAGTAAAGATAATGGAGTTCAAAATCTGCTCTGAAGGAGTCTGATTTGTCTCTCCAAAAGCTCTTCTACAAATCTCTCTCTCTCTCTAAAGCTCTCTAAAATAATAAGATACAAGATATCTGCAAAAGAATGGCTGAAAAACCTAATATACAAGCTAAAACATGATCTGGGGCTTTTTTGCAAAAACTAGAACTTCTGGGCCAAAACTGCAATTTCTTCCCAATCTTTTAAAAACAGGCCACGACCCCTTCCTTTCTGGGTGACGAGCGTCACCAAAAGTGGTGACGAGCGTCACCCATATGCATACTTTTCTTCCCGAGTTGGGTACTTCGTGGCTTCAACTCAAAATGCTCCAAAAGGCTTCAATATCTCCAATTATGCTCTAGACATGCTATAACCTGCAAAGACTCTTCTAGGACTCTAAAAAGACCAAAAAGACTCAATAAAAAGGACTTATATCATGGTTAAAAACCATAAAAACTATGATATATCAGCCACATGGACCATCACTCTACCAGAAGAGGATCGACACGTGCCCCGAGCTTGTACAGCTTCGAGCACGTCTGTCGCTAGCGCAGCACAGACATGTGACACTCGATTCTGATCATATAAATCGAACCGGCCAATGTCAAGATAACCGTCTGCTCTTAATGCCAAACGCGTTACCTTCTCTACAAGTTTAATAATCCAAAGGCGCCTTGTTAAACAAACAACTCCACACCACATGCGATACTCAAGAATCTTGACTCGCCTAACCTGCTAGAGGGGATCGAGAGAGAGGAAGATAGGATGGGGGGGTTGAGTAATTTAGATTATCCAGGAGAATGAACCTACACTATCCTATTAATGCACCACAACTTAACAAAAGCTAAGTTCAAGCCTAAAACATCACCATAGAAAGTCCTAAAGACTTCACACACAACCTAACATTCTTCAGATAACGCCACTGCGAATACTTGGGCCACATAATGATGACTTACACCCTGGCACTTGGGATGCATCCGCCGTAGGAGTATATTCGCTACACGACTAGCTCATCAGCCATGCCTTGGGAGTGCTTAGTACGTCTAGCCTCTCTCCCATACCATATGAGTATACAATGTTCCCTTTGAACAGCTCCATATGATGTCAGGTCCCTCAGTACCCCTCTACCTTTTGCCACACATGGCTCACGGAAATTACACACAAAATTCTCAACTCACGATATCAACTTATCATCTCAACTCATCGTCTCGATACATCGTCTCAATAGTTCACCATGGACAGATTCTTCACTCGGATCTATTGATCATTGTTTCCACGCCACATGATCTCAATCCTCATCTTGAATCACACATAGTTTCAATAATGATCTCATACAATACCATATTAAATATGTAACCTCTTTACAACTAAGTGATCAAACAGCAAACAAGTGGAACAAACAGCAAACAATCATATCAAACGTGATACACAAGCAAAGTTTGTTTTAATCTCCTGCAACTTCAGTTTCACAACCCTTAACACATCTAGGCGATCCACACAATCAATAGCATCCTAATAAGACCTAGCTGACACTCAGTTCTAAAGAAATAAGTAGTTTATGCTTGGTTTAACTACAAACTATGCATTCAGAAAAACAGGACATACAATATTCAAGCACAGATTCATCCTCACCTTGGCCTTAATAGCACAACGGTTCGGGGGAAAAAAAGAAGGGAACTCGCGGCGTAGACATTGTGGCGGCTGGAGGCGACAGATCCAAGCGGTAGCTGAACACGCATGGTTGGAGAGCTTCAAACGCCTCATCGGAATCGCAGTGGCTCATTGGAACACCAGAGTTGCGCCAAGGAGAGATGGGAACGTCCAAGGAAGGAGGATAGAGAGAGAAGGCGGCAGAGAAGGAGCAAAACATTTAAAGGGAAGAGAAGGGAGAGATTAGATTTCTCTGCTTCTTTGGAACTTTCAGAATGAAGAAAAAGAACGAAGGAGACTTTCTATTTATACCCAATAAGAGATTTGGCAGGAAGTATAGATGAACTGTCACGGCCATCATGATTTTCTTTTTTTTGTTTTTAGAAGATTTTCATCTACTGTCATGGCCATCATGATTCTCTTTTTTGCTTTTAGAAGATTTTCATCTGCCATTTTTTTTTCTTGAGTTTTGAATAGTGATTGATGACTAAGAATATTATTGAAGTCCTTTATATTCAACAAAGAAAACTAAAATTAGAATTGTCAACAGCATTCATTAAGTAAGGAGTTTAAATTAACAACCTTCGGCGTGCGGACTACAGCGGAGTATATATGTTTTACTTGTTTCAGAAGAATCCAATAAAAGAAGTTGGTTTCAGTGATATGCTAAGAGTGATGCTGGAATATTCGAGCGACAATTACATTCCAAGAAACAAAGAGAAAATATTGATACAAAAATATTAATACAAAAATATTAACATATTCTTTGAAACGTTTTGTTCCATATATGCTTAACAAACGAAAATGGAACTAGTTTTCAGACCGAAGTATCCAGCTTTGTCCAATTCCGGAGAATTGTCATAAGCAAGAGACATGATGATTGGCAAAATAAACCACATATCAAACCAATCCACAAACCCTGTTTTCACCAAAACAATGAATCAACACACAAAGAACATAAAATCTTGCTTAACAAAATTCAGAATGTTTTGCAAGAACCCGTAAGCGAGTAAACCGGGAGCTTAGTACTTCATATAGAGTGCAGCTTGTTTTGATATGTTAGGATCTTGCCTGAGAAACCCGAAGACCGATTCTGTGAAGAACCAGAAGATGGAGATGAGGATGGTGAAAACTAATGAGACGATGCAAGATGATTGTAGATGAATCCCCAACATTCTGTAGCTTTTAGCACCAAAGCCTTGTCCACACAATGTCTCAAGTGCTCCACTTAACCCTGTCTGAAAATTTTAAAAAACATTAATCTATACATGTTATAAATTATATATCCACATGCATACAGAGCACCATTAATGACCGAAATATTCTTAATTATATGCTAAAAGAAAAAAGAAAATTATGGCAAAACTCGTCCATTGGTTCAATAGAATTAGAAAGCCTTAAATAACAAGAAAACTGATTTTTTAAATCCCTTGTGGGTCAAGATCTACGCAATTATATTATTTAACAAAAATCAAACTAGTAAACTCAAAAAACGAATTCTAGGGCCATGGATAGATTAAGAATCCGAATTCTGAGGGTGTTAAGAAGAAATAAGTGGGTTTGATTCATTTATGCACTAGAAATCAATAGCAAATGTTGAATATAACGCTGGTTTGAAAGGAATGGTACTTCCTTCACATGCAGCTCATCTCCAAGTACCAAAACCCAATTCTAGTGAGATTCATGGTCACTCATCGACTAGAAACAAGAAAGAAAGTTTAATTTTCTTAAACGCCATAACAACAAGGGCACATATTAGCGTACTTGGCAAAAAAAAATGTTTATTTATTGAATTTCTTTTTCATGATCAAACTCGCTTACAAGTTTGAGAAATGTTGTTTACATACATAAAAAAATTTGAGAAAATGTTAACAAATTGAAATTCAATAAATAATTATAACTGAATTTCTATAACTAAATTTAGGCCTCGCAATTAAGAAGATTTCTAAATTGGAATTCTACAAATTCTTTTTGTTTTTGACTAAAACTAAATCAATGTGAAACGAATAAATCTCAAAAACATACTTCTTAATTAACATTTACTCGAATCTTATAACTCGTGAACCTGACAAATTTTCTTCAACTTGCAAGTTGAGAAATGCTAATCTAAATAAATAACAAAATATTCAAGAAAATGTTTAGATATATCTTTTCGAGAATTATTTAACTTCACATAGAATTTCGTTTTTATAGATTTAATCAAAAACAAAAAGAAATTATAGAGTTCGAATTTAGAATGTAAGATTTGAAGAATAATAATATAAGAAAAAGACAAAGAATGCAACTAAACTTAGGCCGCTCATTATTTCAGTATTTACATTCAAGAGGCTTAAAGCTAAGGGCCCAGAGGTCCATCAGTGTCGTCTTTAAATCAAACTGATGCAGAAGTTCTGATTCTGATACACTAAGGCCATGTTCGATTCTTGATCTAGAATATCTAGATTCAGCATCTTGATATAATTTTCAGATGCAGCATTTAGATATTGTTAGTTTTTAAAACTAGGTTTTGCATTTGGATATAGCATTTGGATGTAACATTGTTTGTTTGTGTATTTATAAACAAATATGAATGCAAAATATCTCAAATGACTAAAAAGGTATATTTTTCAAAAAAATAACAACACAAGAACATACCAAACCAATCTGAGAGAGATTGAAGATTCTACAAGTTACACTACTTTATTTTTTTAAAAGTAATAGACACAACATGTTTTTACAGCTTGACATGGTCTCGCAAACCAAACCGACTGAATCCAGGTTCTCACTTCACTTGACATGGTCAATGAGCCAAGCGAGCATGTCTTTGTGAGCTTCCTCTGCAGCTTCAACTTCTAATGGATCATTCACGTTGTACCTAACAGTCCAACCATGTTTGACTCGTGGGAATATCTTCACAAAACTTTTCACCTGAAACAATCACTTCGCTTGCTGATTAAAGATATGTTCATTCTTTAAACACGACAGAAACTAGAAACTGTAATGAATTACCTCTGGTTTAGTATCTAAAACGTCTTCGAATTGCTTCACAAGTTCTGGAGGGGACACTTGATCGAGTTCAGCTCCTAATACAGAAATTGGAACCTTGACCCCTGCTTCAATCACATTCATCATATTATCATTCAAGAATCATAATCACAGAAATGTAGAAGGAAAGCAAGCAAAAAGAGTGGCTATCTAATTACCCTTGATATCATCCACTGTAACACGAGAAGGATGTAACAGAACAGCAGCTTCAACAAGCTCTTGTTTCGCAAGTTCCACTGCAACTTTTGCTGTGATCAACACACAAAGGGAAACCAAAAGGAGCTCTTTTTGTGTTATCCTTACTCCTGGAAGAAAATGTATGGAAGAAGAAAAACCAAACTCACCACCCCAACAGAACCCTACTGCTCCAATTGCAGTTATGCCTTTGTTCTTCAAGGCTTCCACTACTGGCCTTGAGTCCTCAAAAGCCTTATCCTACAAAATCAATGGGACTGGTTTCAAAATAGACTAAGGATAAAGTATTGTCTACGTTCTAGCTTTGCAATCATCAATGAAAACAAACAATCAAATAATCTTGATCATACATGAAAGTAGGCCACTACACAAACCTCAGGAACAAACTCATATATGTTTACACAAAGAAAAGCAAAAATTGATTTCGAACACTAACTAACTTGTTCATGATCTTTTATCCAGATAGGAAGTGGTCAATCTTGATTCGCTGGATTATAAGGATCTCCATGGAAGAAATCAGGAACCAACACATAAAATCCAGCTTCTGCAACCTTGTCAGCAAGTTTCCTGTAACAAAACAACAACAACAAAATTAAAGCAAGTTACAATGAAAACTTATTTGGATCAGTGATAGAGAAAATCAAAAAGGCTTAACCGAAACATAAAGTCCAAAACTTTCTTATACAATTACCATCAGAAACTATCACCAAGAGACAAAACTCTCATTGAAACAAAGAATGTTTACAAGCAAACCCCCTAAATATCTCTATTCACTCGGAATTTACTGCAAAAGCTCAAGAATTTCACAAATGTTGTTTATTTACGGCAATGTCCATAAGACTCTTCCAAAGCAGATCAAGTTTCCATTTGAAACAAACGAATGTAGAATACTGGGTTTCATTACTAGCAAAATGTGACACGAATCTACAAATCAAATTCATAAAGACTGATCCTTTAGAAAGAACACTATATACTCAATAGTCTCTCACAAACGAAATCGGAGAGTGAGAAACTGAGTAAAAATAGGCTCACCGAAAACATGAGAGACGAGAACAACGGCGAGCCTTGAATGAGTGGAACCAGAGACAATTGCGTCTAGAGTCGAGACCGCCAAGTTTCTCGACATGACCCGACCCACTATTTGGATCCAGATTGGGCGGGTTCTCGGTACACTGACGATGATGAACCGACATGTCTTCTCTTCGCCGAAGCAAAAACAAAAGGCTCCTTTCTCTTAATACAATACGTAAATCCACCTAAACACCACGTGTGTATCTACTCTTCCACCTAAAGAGCCCACGTGCGTTAATTAAGATTTTCTTTAGCATGCTCATTACTCCCATGTCATATGTTTAACAAAACATTACTTTTCCATTGTTAGTACGTCGCTAAAATGATGGCTACACAGTTTTTGGAAATATTGGGGAGATTAACCGTTTAGGAGTATGTGCTCAACAAAAGTTAAGCACATGGGATAACATGGCTCTATAGCTTGTTGTATTTACCAAAGTTAAGCACATGAGATGACATGATTCTATATCTATGTAGCCCTCTTGTGTGTTGTTGGTTTATATATATCAAAATGTTTTAACTCATTGCAGGGAGTACACAAAAGCAAAAGTCTAAAAAACTCATATACTATAGAACAACCGTCCAAAGTAGTTCAATCTGAGACTATCCCCAGAGCTTTTGATGAAAGCAAGCAATAGAGAAGGAACACATCCATTCTGCAACTTGAATTCTTTAATGTAGGGCTTAAGAACATAGTGCCCAAGCTTGTGTCTTGCAAGAAGATTAGCTTTTGCAAGGATTTCCTCTTCAATAATATGAAAGCTCTCTGCATCTCCAAATTCTGATACAGCTTGAACAAAGAAGGTTGAGTAGTTTGACATTGAGAGCATGACAAAACGTCTCTTTAGCTTCTTGACAAGTATGTTTGCAGCATAAGGCTTATCTAAACAACTCTAAAGAATTATACACTTGAGTGAAAACGAAAAGACAATTTCAATAAGAACATTTTGGTTCAGCAGAAAAGGAAAAAAAAAAATTTATTAGTGAAAGAAATTACCCTTTTGTAACTAAAAGATTCAAATGATTAGATTCCTCACACATCAAACAAATTATCGCTATGATTAACACACTAATTTTTAATTTGCGCGAAAATTGCACCATATCTGAAGAGAGTAAAGAGAATACATGAATGAAGAAACCTTAAAATTTGAAAAGCACAATAGAATTGAAGAGAGTAAAAGGAATACATGAATGAAGAAAAACTTAAATTCAAAAAAAGTATACTCCTTGGAAGTTGAAGCAAAAAAAATGGTAAAAACAAAATGTATCAAGAAAAAGGTGAGTCCTAACTAATAATTATTAATGGACTGTTTGTTGCTTTTGGATGTGTCCACCTCAGGTTTTTTAAACAACTCTAGAAAAATGCAACATCAACGTTTTAAATATTAGTTAGAAATAGGACTTAATTATTATTAAGCAATAAAAAATCTCAGAAATAGCTTCTTTTCTTTTTATTTTAGAGATAATCCACGACGTTTCCGTTTTAATCTTCACTTTCTTCTTCTAATTTCACTTCAGTTCTAAATCCCAAGAAAACCCAATGGTGATGGATCATTGGTAACATATTGCCTTTCTTCATTCTTTCTCTTATGCGTCCAACCCATGTATTGAATTCCCGTTTTGTTCTCATGTAAAGACATCATTCCAAACTCAGAAGCAACTAAAAATGCCTTAGACGCTGACCAATCCAGAAGCAGACCTGAACGAAAGAAATCTTTGGGCAAGGGTCAATGCATATGGAGGTAAGCAAGAGACTGTCAATAAACTGTGTTATGAAGCAAGTGTGTAGCGTCTCTTATCGTTGGGCTGATTATCAGATTATGCCATAACTATTTTACAAATTGTCTCCATACCTACATGAAATTTCTCGCATATTTTTCATCAAGGATGGCCTTCAAGCCGACGCAAGTTTTGTTTTAGTAAATTATTAATAGATTATAGTTTGGTATATAATCACTATTAAGTACAGCTACTAAAACCTCAAAGCTTCTCTAATGGAAACTCAGTAAACTGCTTCATTAATGAAAGAAAAATAAATAAGTGCCAATAATGAATAACTCTGGAAAGTTTATAAGTTCAAATCTTTTAGGTGTTTGTCTACCAGCTTTTATTAGTCATCCCAACAAGTTCGCATCGCTTGATCTAATAACCGCACCTAATGTCTCATATTGTATATTACTTTGCCTATTGACGATCCGTATAACTGTCCATATTGAACTGATTCAAAGATGAATGTTTTCAGTTGATTTTTCGGTTGTAGAATGGGAAAAAGATAATAATACAGAAGGCGTTAATGATCATCTCCAGCAATTTTCTGTTGCTGTTCAGGTCATTCTCTGACTTTTTCTATTTTATTTTTTTATTCACCCCACAAATTTCACCTAACGTAAATGATGGTGTGTAAGTGATTCACTAATGTTCATAGCTTTGAAGAATCTTTGAGACACATGGTTTCGTATTATGTATTTCAATTTGTAACCTACATTACCATTCGCTAAAGTTGCTTGGTACAGCTTCAAAAAGTTGCTTATTCTGTTTGATCTGTTGTTGGTCGATATTCTGTTCGATCTATTGTTGGTCGACTTAAACCGCATGAGCATTTACAACTTCTAACTATGATGGCCGATCTAGACTGTATTTTTTTTTTTTGAATGGATATGTTAAATTAACCAAACAAAAGCCAGTGGTACAAAGAGAAAGGTCTGAAACGTAAAATCAGAAACTACATAACTTTACAAAGGAATTTAGCTTTGGATTAAAAACCATCTCTGCATACGTCTTATCTCCTTGTATTTGAATTGTTGAGAATCTGTTCCTTAGTTGCTTGCCGATTAGATGAGTCAACTGAGATGGGGATGTTGGAGATTCGCCATGTTTCCTAGCGTTCCTTTCACACCAAATTATGTGGATCGCCGATTGAAATACATATCGCAGTATAAACGTTGATATGTGGTCTCGTGTCTCATCTACCAAAAGCTCCAAAATCGAGTTCCAGTTCTCAGTATAATCTCTGAGCAGCAACTTTTGAGTGAGGTTCCTCCATATTAATGTCGAATAGCTGCATTCAAATAACAGATGGTCCCTGGTTTCCACCGAGTGTTGACGGAACACACATGAAATCTCTGCTCCCACATTCCATGCCTGCAGTAGAGAGGCAATTGCGGATAGCCAGCCATGTGACGAATGAGTATTTTGGAGTTGAGTGCTTAAACCAGACACCTTTATACCACTCGTTGCCTCCTGAATAAGTTATAAGAACGTTATATTGTATATCTCTCAAGGTTACAGAGTTGCAGGATATATACATGAAGAGATGCTAGGGTAGCCTATGATAGAGTTAATTACAGAATATTAGATTACATAATTAGCTCCATGATTGTAGGAATCATTGATATGATTGTCTTTCCATAATATGTCCCCTCGAGATGGAGGTGGTTTGCTAACTCCAATCTTGTTTGACAGGTTGTTGAATGTAGCTCTCGGAAGTGCTTTGGTGAGTGCATCCGCTAACTGGTCTTTTGTGGAGACATAAACAACACGTAAGGCTCCAGCTTGTACTTGATTCCGAATGAAGTGATAGTCTAATGCCAGATGCTTCATACGTGAATGGAAGACCGGATTAGCGCAGAGATATGTAGCGCCAACATTGTCACAGTATACTACTGGTGGAGTCGGGAGCTTGATATCTAGTTCACCAAGTAAAGAGCACAGCCAATTCAGTTCTGCCGATGTATTTGCAACCGATCTGTACTCTGCTTCAGTAGATGATCTAGCGACGCCCTTTTGTTTCTTAGATGACCAGGCAACGGGTGTTTTACCAAGGAATACTATGTATGCATTAGTAGACACAAAATCATCTGTATCGCCAGCCCAATCTGCATCTGAATAGGCATGTAATGATAGAGAATTATTGGCGTGAAGAAAGATACCGTGAGTTGATGTACCCGCCAGATATCGTAGAACCCTTTTTGCTGCCTGCCAGTGGTCATGTGTGGGCTTGTGCATGAATTGAGATAGTCGATTGACGGTATATGATATGTCCGGACGTGTAAAAGCCAAGTATTGCAGATTGCCAACTACTTGACGATACTCTGCTGGATCGGAGATTGTTGTGCCAGCGTGAAGAGATAGTTTTGGTGTTGTTGCCATCGGAGTTGTAACAGGTTTCGCCGTTAACATATTATGCCGTGCAAGAAGATCGTGTATGTACTTCTTTTGACTGAGGTGAAGACCCGACTTTGTTCGCTTTGCCTCTATTCCAAGGAAATACGAGATTTCCTCATGATCTTTAACAGAGAATCGGGTGGATAGTGCATCGAGAGTTTGATAGAGCAGAGCATCATCGTTGCCCGTGATTAAGATGTCGTCAACGTAGATAAGCATATAGATGATGGACCTCCCTTTCTTGAGAATGAAGAGAGATGTATCTGCAATAGAATTAACAAAGCCAACAGAGATTAAGAAGGTGCGTAGCTCAGTGTACCATGCCCTCAGTGCTTGTTTGAGACCGTAAATTGCTTTACGAAGTCTACAAACATGGTTGGGTCGATCTGCATCAATGAACCCCGGTGGCTGAGACATGTAGACCTCTTCCGTTAATGTCCCTTGCAAAAAGGCGTTGTTGACATCTAATTGGCGAATAGTCCATGATCGAGCAACTGCAATACCAAGGGTGATTCGGATAGTGTTGGATTTAATGACAGGGCTAAATGTCTCAGAGTAGTCGAGTCCATGTTTCTGGTTGTATCCCTTCGCGATGAGCCTTGCTTTGTAGCGATTGATTGAGCCGTCTGGATTATATTTCTTTGTGAATATCCATTTGCAGCCAACGATGGTTGTTGATGAAGACGGTGGTGGTGTGAGATCCCAGCTGTGGTTGCCTAATTGAGCGTTGATTTCAGCAATCATCGCATTCCGGTAACGTTCATCCTTGAGTGCTTGTTATGCTGTCTGTAGTTCGGGATCGAGGGATGAGATTTCTGTGTTAGAGGCGTATTTAGGGTTCTATTTGGCTATGCCATGTTTTGCTCGTGTGGACATGTCATGGGAATTTTATGGGTTCAGACGTGGTACGGGAAGTGCAGGATTGAAACGCCGTATTGGCGGAACAGGGGAAGGAGACGACATATTTGGGGGTTCTGTTTATGTTTGTGATGACATTGGGTTTGTATCGGGTGTGTTTGTGTGTGTTTGGGCTGATGATGTTGGGCTTGAATTTGATGATTGTGTTTGGGTCAAGGTATTGGGTGAGTTATTTGTTGGTGGAGTTATCTGGGCCGTGGGTTGCGGCCCATGTGTATTTGGAGCAGTGGGCTCAGATGAGAGAGAAACAGAAGGAGTCGAAGAGAGAGAAGGCGATACCTGTGATGTCAGAGACGATGGCGGCATCTGATTAGATGACGCTGGATCAGTGTGGTGAAGGGTTGAGCACGGGGGTACACTTGTCGTAGCTTGTGGCAGAGTTGACTGTAGGCGTAGAATCAATATTTGGCGAGGGCAATGAATCACGACCGGTGGTGTTTCTTCTGCATTTGTTGACGACGAAGGTGTGGATGATTGAAAGGGGAATCGCGATTCATCAAACACCACATGTCGTGAGGTGTAGATTCGTTTGGAGGGAATGTGTAAGCAAAAATATGCACTTTGTGTTGTCGAGTATCCCATGAAGACACACATCAGTGACCGATCATCAAGCTTGTTGCGTGTGTATGGTCGCAACCAGGAAAAGCACGCCGATCCAAAAATCCGAAGCTTGTCATAGTTAGGTGCGAACCCAAAGAGTTTTTGAAATGGCGATTGATGAGATAAAACAGCCGTGGGCATCCGATTTATGAGATACACTGCCGTTGCAAAGGCATATGGCCAGTATGTCTTTGGAACAGAAGCTTGGGAGAGGAGTGTTAACCCCGTTTCGACGATATGCATATGCTTTCTCTCAGATATGCCGTTGTGTTCTGGAGTATGAGGCGGTGATGTCTGATGAGAAATGCCTTGTTGTGTGAGGTACTCTCTCAATGCAATATATTCTTCACCATTGTCAGAATACAGCGTTTGAATTTTGGTTTGGAACTTGTTTTCAGCAAGCGTTTTGAAGGCTATGAAAGTGTTTTTGACTTGTGATTTTTGTTTCAGGGGAAAAAGCCAAGAATATCGAGTATAGTGATCTATGATGACAAGATAATATCGGAAGTTATCAAGTGAGAGAAGGGGTGAGGTCCAGACATCAGAGAAGAGATATTCAAGGGGCTTTGTGGAGGTAGTCGTAGAGATAGAAAATGATAACTTGTGATTTTTATTGATAAGACAATCTGAGCAAGATATATTTTTGGGATTTTTCTGGAAAAGAGGAAGAGAAAACTTTCTGACAATGGTGTTTAAAATTACCGTAGATGGATGGCCGAGTCGAGAGTGCCATGATGAGAGAGTAGCCTTAGAACTTGGCGATGCATATAATGCAGTGGCTGATGAGGTTTTGATCGGCTACTGATAGAGTTCGTTTCTAGTCTTTCCTTGGAGCAATGGGACCCCCGTGCATAGATCCTTCATCTGAAAGAAGGTGGGAAAGAATTCTACCGAAACTTGATTAGTGTTGCATAATTGATATACCGAGAGTAAATTTTTTGTCAATTGCAGGAACACATAGGACTTTACTCAAAACCAGATTACGATTATGAGTGGGAAGAGAAGAAAAACCCGTGTGTGTTATTGGTAGACCGGAACCATCAGCAATAAGAACATCATCACCTCCGTTGTACGGCTGGTGGAGGAGAGATTGTTGATATCAGAAGTGATATGATGGCTCGCCCCACTGTCTAGAAGCCAGCTGTTATCAGTGGAGTATGGTCCTACGGCAAGGTTAGCACGAGGTTGCCATGGTGTGAATGGAGACGCGTTCATCGGAGAAGATGACAACTGAAAAGAATGAAGTTGTGGGCATCTTTTTACGCTGTGGCCTTGGATACTGCAAATCTGGCAACGCCCAAGGTACGGTCTTGGCCCTCTATGATCAGCTCGATTGTTCTGGGAAGAATTCCAGTGTGGTTGTTACATTTGTTTTCCTTGTGGAGGAGCTGATGATTCCCAATTGTTGTTCTTCTGACGATTGAAGTTGCGATTGTTGTAGGAATTGTTTCTTTGTTGGACTGCATTAGCCGTGACAGGTGTGTGAAGGCTGACAGTGTCTGCTGCCGAGATGAGCTTTGCTTCATGATTGAGCAAGCGTTCGTGAAGCTCAACGATGGTGGGTGGAGTATCATGGTCTTCGACTTGATCAACGATGGATTTGTATTCATCAGAGAGACCTTCGAGTATGAGCTCTATTTGGTCTTCATGTTCCACGGGTTTGCCTAAGATGGCAAGTTGATCTAGACGTGTGGTGATGCCTTGTAGGTACACCTCAATGGTTTTGCTTTCTTTCTTCCAATTTTTGAGTTGGGTTTTAAGTTGCTTGATGTGACCGCGACTTGGTTTGGCGTAGGTAGACGCCAACGTTGTCCAGACTTCAGAGGCGGTGGTTGCATGAGATACGAGAGGCTGGATGGTGGTGGAGATAGCTCCGATGAGGGAACTGAAGATAAGACGATCCTGGCGTTTCCAGAGAGTGTAAGCCGGATTGATAGTGGTCTCATCCCCTGGAGTGAGCATGATGGCAGGGATCTCAGTGGATCCGTCAAGATGACCAGAGAGGTCATAGCCATTTAGTAATGCGTGGATCTGAAGATTCCACATGAGGTAGTTGCTAGAGGTGAGTTTTGTCACGCCTGACATGTTCACCGTGAGAAGTGTGTTGTTGGTTGGATTGATGATGTCTGTGACTATAGCAGGAGAGGAAGACATTGTATGTAGGCGTAGAAGAGAAAGAGAAATTTTTGTGTTTTCAGATCTATAGCTCTGATACCATGTAAGAACGTTATATTGTATATCTCTCAAGGTTACAGAGTTGCAGGATATATACATGAAGAGATGCTAGGGTAGCCTATGATCGAGTTAATTACAGAATATTAGATTACATAATTAGCTTCATGATTGTAGGAATCATTGATATGATTGTCTCTCTTTAATATAAGTAGCCATGTATCTTTCTATCTGAATCGCGGTTTGAACTGATCATTTGCTTGGAGCCATAACGCTCTATCCTCTTTGTGTTGGTCCGCAGCCTCCCGTAAATTGTCAATTGCATCTTCAATATGGTTGAGTAAAGTTACCTGATGGTTTCTCTGTCTATGAGTGGCTAGAACCGAAGCCACCGTTGAGTCAATACGCACTCCTAGGTCTACACATCCGCGGTTTCCAGTGAGCTCATGTAAGCGGCCCATGGGAGCCCATTTATCGAACCAGAATGAAGTGCCTTCTCTGTTATTTACCTCAACCATCGTTAGTGGTTTCTGGTTTCGCTTATTCTCTATATTTCAGGATCTTCTTCCACATCCATGATCCGAGAGAGGAGTTCTCTTTGACGGACCAGAAAGAACCTTCTCTTATTAAGTACATTCTGATCCAATTGACCCACAATGATGATTTTTCCGAGAGAATCCTCCAAATAAGCTTCAAGCAACTCACGTTATTAGCCTCCGTCAGTGAACGTAACCCCAGGCCACCCTCCTTCTTCGCCATACATACTTCTTGCCACGCAAGTTTTGCCTTCCTAGGGTTTAGGTCAGGACCAGACCAAAGAAAAGCAGCACAGATTTTATCTATTTCTTTGATACAAGCTTTTGGCAGGCGAAAGGCGGATATCCAGAAAGTTGTGAGCCACATCAATAAAACCCTTCAAAAGGTTTATAAGCTTAATTAACTAGATTATGTAAAGAAGTATCACAGACAAGTTGTTCGGAGACATTGTCATTGGGGTTGTAACAGGCTTTGCAGTTAGCATATTATTCTTGGCCAGAAAATCGATTATATACTTTCGTTGACTCAAATGTAGTCCTTGCGGTCCTCTTTTTGCTTCAGTACCCAGAAAATACGATAGATCATCATGTTCTTTAACCGAAAACCTAGTTGCTAAGACATCCAGTGTACTATATAGGAGCCTATCATCTTTGCCAGTAACAATAATATCATCGACGTATATGAGCATATATACCAGCGACTGACCTGTTGGAAGAATGAATAAGGAAGTATCGGCAACAGAGTTCAGGAATCCAGCAGAGAGGAGATATGTTTTTAATTCTATGTACCACGCTCGTGGAGGCAGTTTGAGTCCGTAAATGGCTTTTCGGAGGCGACAGACATAGCTTGGTTTATCTTTGTCAATGAACCCAAGCGGTTGCACCATGTATACTTCTTCTGACAGTTCCTTGTAGAAAGGCATTGTTGACATCTAATTGACGGATGGTCCATGAGCGAGTGAGCTACTGTAGTGTCCAATACAAGTCGAATGGTTGTTGACTTGATAACTGGACTAAAAATTTTAGAGTAGTCAATCGCATGCTGTTAATTGTGATTGATGACTAAGAATATTATTGAAGTCCTTTATATTCAGCAAAGAAAACTAAAATTAGAATTGTCAATAGCATTCATTAAGTAAGGAGTTTAAATTAACAACCTTGGGTGTGCGGACTACAGCGGAGTATATATGTTTTACTTGTTTCAGAAGAATCCAATAAAAGAAGTTGGTTTCAGTGATATGCTAAGAGTGATGCTGGAATATTCGAGCGACAATTACATTCCAAGAAACAAAGAGAAAATATTGATACAAAAATATTAATACAAAAATATTAACATATTCTTTGAAATGTTTTGTTCCATATATACTTAACAAACGAAAATGGAACTAGTTTTCAGACCGAAGTATCCAGCTTTGTCCAATTCCGGAGAATTGTCATAAGAAAGAGACATGATGATTGGCAAAATAAACCACATATCAAACCAATCCACAAACCCTGTTTTCACCAAAACAATGAATCAACACACAAAGAACATAAAATCTTGCTTAAAAAAATTCATAAGAGAGTCTAGTCATGCATATACTTGGGCATAAAACTTCAACTTGAAACCACAAAAGGCTGCAATAGGCATTCCAATGAAATAGAATGTTCCCAAGTTTATAACCGTGACCATTTGTTGCCATCCGCATCCTCTGGCCACTCCTGTAAACAAAATGCAAAATGAGTTTTTTTTTTCTTCGCGTCATGATGATCCAAGAAAGAAGAAGTTTTCTTGAATCTCTTATATTACCTGAAAGAACACCTTGGATCGAATCAATAGTTATAGAGGCAGCAAGAAAGAACCTCAATGATGCAAACTCTTCTCTGATCACAAGGCTATTGCTGAATAACCTAACCCAACTATCGTGACCTACAAGTAAAGCAACCACTATGCCGAGAGCAAGAACTAAAGATAACTTAATGGTTACAGAAGTCGCCTTCTTTGCGCCTTCTACATTTTCTGCTCCAAGTTCGTTCGACACACGAGTACTGCAAATATTTGTTAGTTGCATCAAAATCCCTCAAATTTTTGATGTCTGATCTTTTTCGCACACTAATATACCTAATTCATAATAGAAAAGTTACTCTAAAGAGGAAAATATGACTGATGAGCTTACTGACCTTGCAGCTGCGCTAAGTCCATATATTAACATGTAGCAAACCGCTCCCGTGTTGACACTGAATAAATTTAACATTACACAACAATGAGCTATTTTTGTTGATATGAAAAATAAAATTAATTATAAAAAAAATGATCTAAAACCAATTACCATATAGCTACCAAAGAGGTGACTATTTCCGGATTAGGCATCAGTCCTGCCAAAAACACAATAATCTCGAACGCCCAATATTCCAAACTGGTGCAACAACATAGTCTTTTAAAGTTTCAAGAAGCATGTGCAGTTTTTAGTAGATGATAATGGTTATTGAGTATGCTTACCATACCATAGCAGCAGAAGGAAGACTTAAAGTCAAGTTTACTATTACATAACGGAATGATTCCAACGAGAACCCGGTCCATATTTCCTTAAACTTGTCTGAACAGATCACATATGTTCCGAGAGAAAGTAAAGCTATCCACAATGAGATAGATGTAGCTATTGGAGCACCAATGAATCCAAGGCCGGCCAAATAAACCAGTACATATGCTATAACGATATTGATCACCAAGGGAACACAAGAGAAGATGACTAGAGGAGTAACGATGGATTGTGTTTGGCAAAATCTTAGAATGTTTTGCAAGAAACGGTAGGCGAGTAAACCGGGAACTTGGTACTTCATATAGAGTGCAGCTTGCTTTGAGATGTTAGGATCTTGTCTTAGAAGTCTCAACACCATTTCTGTGAAGAACCAGAATATGGAGATGGGGATGGTGAAGGTTAATGAGACAATGCAAGCTGATTGTAGATGAATCCCCAATATTCTGTAGCTTTTAGCACCAAAGCCTTGTCCACACAATGTCTCAAGTGCTCCACTTAATCCCATCTGAAATAATTGAAAAACATTGATATATGTAATAAAGTATAGAGGAAATTATTTAAAAATGCTTGACAATATAAAAAATAATGTTAAACATAGATATTTTAAAAATAAAATTATAAAAATTAATATTATTATATAAAGTTGGATGTATCAAAGTTAGTAATTAGCATGATCGCGATCCATGATAAGTCTTCCGATTTAGAATTTGACACATGTCTCGATTAAAATTAAAATAAAGATAAATAAAAATATATATATTTCAGTTTAGAAAAAGAAAATAACAGAATTTTATTATTATTTTTAAAACACTTTATACTATATTCTAAATTTTTATCCATATGACTCGTTTGGTGTTTCCGGTATTCAATAATCAGATAATTCTAAAAATAATTACATGCAAAATTTGCAACATAAGATTACAAGAAAAAGAAATCATAGATATTAATGATATGATATTGGATGATGATGAGCTCATTGAGGAGGAGGATCAGCAAAAATTGTATAGGGAAGCTTTTAACGCGAGTCTTGAGATCATATATATAGGAGACAAATATGAAGAAAAATAAAAAATAAAATTATTTACTTGGACAGAGTTAATGGAGAGAGATAACATATATGAATGACTCGCATTGCATACCTAATTTTTTTTAAAAACGAAATTAAAAAAAAAATAGTTGATAAAAAGTTGAACTACAAAAGAAGTAGGGCTAGAGTTGTTAAAAATCTGCAATAGATTATGTGTTTTGAATATTCAAAATAAATGATAATTAAAATAAATAACATTTAAAATTCGATTTTGTCTTTTGTATTTTTAATATATGTTTTCACAAGTGGTCTAATTTTTTTAAACATATATTTTAATAAATTTAATTTTTTTTGTTATTATAAATCAACGTATATACGGATCCTAATCTATTATTTTTTAAATATTAGCACTATATTTTTAGCTATATATCTATTTCAGATTAATAGCAATGTGGAATAATGACAAACTAATTCATTATACAATTGAAAATAAAATAAATACAGACTAATTACTAAATAAATACAAACTAATGACAAACTAACAACAAATTGAAAGTAAGCTAGTAGACTCTCCTTAGAGCATCTCCAATGTATCATACTATTTTTTTATCTCAAAATAGAACAATTGTAAAATAGAATTGCATTTCTCTCCAATATATGATTCTATTTTCTATTCCATTTTTTCTGTTTTATTAGTACTTATTATTTGATCCATAATTTCTTCAAAATTTCCAAATTGATCCAATAATTATTTTAAAACATTTTCATAAATTATCTATTCTTTAATTTCAATTATTTTAATAAAAAATATATTATACTACATAAAAATGATTAAAAAATAATTATGAGTTTTGTCATTATATTTTCTATTAAATAAATGTTATTTGAATTTTCATTTTAGAGATTCAAGTGTATTAATATTTATAATTATAAATAAAAGAAATTATCAACAAAATAATGATTTATAAATTTGAAAATAAAATTATTCAATATTTGAAGGACTAGTTTATAAATAAAAAAATGAAATTCTAAAACAGAATTTGATATGAGATGGTTTCAAATTTGAAATAAAAAGTAGCATTATTCTATTTTAGAATAAAAAATAGAATAGGGTTGGTGTACATTTTATACTAAAATAAAATTTAGCATTAGATTTAGAATATTGTTGGAAATGCTCTTAGAATTTTTCGTATGAAAGATCTTTATTTCACATTAAGAGGAGTGTATTCAACTTAACATTTGAAATGATTTGGAAGGATTTGAGTTTTATTGAGTTTTTAGATGATTTGGTTGAATTATGGAAATTGTAATGATTTGATATCAAAATTCTATCAAACTCCACCTAAAACCATGTGATTTGGATTTTTGTATTTCTAATTAGAAAATTCCATCAAAACATTTTAAAGTCACTCCAGGTTTCTTAAAATCTTCTACTTAAATTATTTTCAGTAATAGTGAATTTGAAGTTACATTTTCAAATTACTAGTTCAATAACACTGAATTTTAAACAACTTTTTAAAATTTATGTTTCAATAATAACAGAGAGTTAATGATTTTTATACAAATCACTATAAATTCTATTTTGAATACACCCCCTAAAATTATCAAGATAACTATTATAACAAATGACATGTAGGTATATTATCCACATTTATAAAAATCACCATAAACGAACCAAATATTCTTAAAAACACCTTAAAAATAGTCGACTTTATTAACAAGAAAACTGATTATTATAGTCCTTGTCTATCTGTCGATTTCTTCGCAATAACTAATCAATAAGTGGGTTTAATGAGTTATCTATGCACTAAAAACAAATAGCAAATGTAAAGCTTGAGGGTTTGAAGGGAATGGTACCATGAAGGCAAAACCGGTGACGGTGGCCCAAGAATTGGCGAGGGTTGCACCGGCGAGCTCGAGTTGACCGAGGTGGGAAGCAAACATAACAGAGGTCAAAGGGATACAATAGTAGAAAAGATTTGTGAATATCATTGGAAGAGAGTACATAATTTGAGCCTTTGATTCTTTGACGTCGATCACTTTTTGAACCCAGGATCTCTTTCCTCTATCATCTTCTTCATGATCATCCAAGAACAACGGAGAGTTCGTTGTGATGGGATTAGCCATTGGATACTCTTGATGAAGGATCTTGCTCTGTTTGGTTGCTGAAGGGAGAAGAGAAGAATTGTGTGATTTGTGAAGGTGAGGAATCAACAAGGGCCAACTGTTGAATGCCACGTCAGTAGTAGAGAGAGCATTATGTGTTCTTTCAAAAACATAACAAAAAAACACCTTATCGCCTTCTCGCCTTCTAACATTTTCATCTTTTCTAAAAATTTCTTCTTGTTTTTTTTTTTTGGGAATTTGCAGACCTTCATACGCTAGTTTGATAGATATGGATGCAAAATTAGAATTTTCAACAGTATTCATTAGGTAACAATCTCCCATGTTTTACTAGTTTGAGAAGAATCCAACAAGAAGTTGGTTTCAGTGATAAGCTTTAGTGTGATGCTGAAATATTCAGCGAAGATTACATTCCAAGAAACTGAGAGAAAATTGAGAAAGATTATCAATCCAAAAATATCAAAATTCTGTTCCATATTTGTTTAACAAAAGAATTGTGCCTACGTAGAGAGAATGGAACTAGATTTTAGACCGAAGCATTCAGCCTTGTCCACTTCCGGAAAATTGTCATAAGCATGAGAGATGATGATTGGCAAAATAAACCACAAATCAAACCAATCCACAAACCCTGTTTTCACCAAAACAATGAATCAACACACAAAGAACATAAAATCTTGCTTTACAAGTATCATAAGAGAGTCATTCATTTTACCTGGGCATAAAACTTCAACTTAAAACCACAAAAGGCTGCAATAGGCATTCCAATTAAGTAGAATGTTCCCAAGTTTATAACCGTGACCATTTGTTGCCATCCGCATCCTCTGGCCACTCCTGTAAACAAAATGCAAAATGAGTTTTTTTTCTTCTTTCAATTCGAGAAATAAAGAAGATTTCTTGAATCTTGTATATTACCTGATAGTACACCTTGGATCGAATCAAGAGTTATAGAGGCAGCAAGAAATAATCTCAGTGATGCAAACTCTTCTTTGATCATAGGGCTATTGCTGAATAGCCCAACCCAACCATTATGACCTATAAGTAGTGCAACCACTACGCCAAGAGCAAGAACTAAAGACAACTTAATGGTTACAGACGTCGCTTTCTTTGCGCCTTTTACATTTCCTGCTCCAAGCTCGTTCGACACACGAGTACTGCAAGCATTTGTTAGTTACATTTTCATTATTACATTTTTTAAAGAAAATGTTACTATAAGAGGAAAATAAAAGAAAATGTTACTATAAGAGGAAAAATACAGAGTTTTTAAACGATTTGAAAAGATTACTGACCTTGCAGCTGCGCTTAGTCCATATGTTAACATGTAGCTAATGGATTCCGTGTTGACACTGAATTTGTTTAACATCACACAACAATGAGCTATTTTTGTTGATATTAAAAATAAAATTAATTTACTAAATATTGATATAAAGCTTACCATATAGCTACCAAAGAGGTGGCTATTTCCGGATTAGGCATCAATCCTGCCAAGAACACAAGAATCTCGAAAGCCCAATATTCCAAACTGGTGCAACAACATAGTCTTTTAAAGTTTCAAGAAGCATATGCGAAGTTTTAGCAGATGATAATGGTTATTGATTATGCTTACCATACCATAGCAGCAGAAGGGAGACTTAAAGTCAAGTTTATTACTACATAACGGAATGATTCCAACGAGAACCCAGTCCATGTTTCCTTAAACTTGTCTGAACAGATCACATAAGTTCCTAGAGAAAGTAAAGCTATCCACAATGAGATAGATGTAGCTATTGGAGCACCAATGAATCCAAGGCCGGACAAATAAACCAGTACATATGCTATAACGATATTAATCGCCAAGGGTAGAAAAGAGAAGATGGCTAGTGGAGTAACGATGGATTGTGTTTGGCAAAATCTCAGAATGTTTTGCAAGAACCCGTAAGCGAGTAAACCGGGAGCTTGGTACTTCATATAGAGTGCAGCTTGTTTTGATATGTTAGGATCTTGCCTGAGAAACCCGAAGACCGATTCTGTGAAGAACCAGAAGATGGAGATGAGGATGGTGAAAACTAATGAGACGATGCAAGATGATTGTAGATGAATCCCCAACATTCTGTAGCTTTTAGCACCAAAGCCTTGTCCACACAATGTCTCAAGTGCTCCACTTAACCCTGTCTGAAAATTTTAAAAAACATTAATCTATACATGTTATAAATTATATATCCACATGCATACAGAGCACCATTAATGACCGAAATATTCTTAATTATATGCTAAAAGAAAAAAGAAAATTATGGCAAAACTCGTCCATTGGTTCACAATAGAATTAGAAAGCCTTAAATAACAAGAAAACTGATTTTTTAAATCCCTTGTGGGTCAAGATCTACGCAATTATATTATTATACAAAAATCAAACTAGTAAACTCAAAAAACGAATTCTAGGGCCACGGATAGATTAAGAATCCGAATTCTGAGGGTGTTAAGAAGAAATAAGTGGGTTTGATTCATGTATGGACTAGAAATCAATAGCAAATGTTGAATATAAAGCTCGAGGCATAGAAGGGAATGGTACCATGAAGGCAAAACCGGTGACGGTGGCCCAAGAATTGGCGAGGGTTGCACCGGCGAGCTCGAGTTGGCCGAGATGAGAAGCAAACATCACAGAGGTTAAAGGGATACAATAAAAGAAAAGATTTGTGAATATCATAGGAAGAGAGTAGATAATTTGAGCCTTTGATTCTTCCACGTCGATCACTTTTTGAACCCAACTCGATGATCGTCTCCTCCTTCCTCTGTTATCTTCATAATGATCATCCAACAAAGGAGAGCTCGTTGTGATGGAATCAGCCATTTGATGAAGGACTTTTCTTTATTTGGTTGCTGAGGAAACTTGAGAATGGGAGAAGATAAGAGAAGAGAAGAAAAGAAAAGTTGAAGAGGAGAATTGTGATTTGTGACGGTGAGATAAGGAAAGTAATAACATAAATAGAGTCAAGCTGTGAGTAGATGTCCTCATCTCTCTCTTACTACCATATCTTTTAATTCTATTTATTGCCACATTGTGATCGAACTACATTTACACTTCATTTTCATTTCAAATCACACTTAACACTTGAAAACATTTTCGTTGGCTAAATTTTTCAATTAAGCGTAAGTGAAGCTGTTTAATTTATGCAAATTGATTACTTAAAAAAATCAACAAATTAATTTTGCAGCATACAATTTAAAACATGTGAAATTGGTGCATTCAAACATGATATATTCAGATTTTTCAAATGAATTATCTATTAAAAATCATGACTGGTTTTGTTGAATGCTGTTAATTTGATGTTATTAACATCAAGCGACGAATAACAACAGTTTCATCAAGTTCAGTTTAGGTTTTAGCAACCGACAATTTCAAACAATAAAATTTAAACGTATTAAAATTTGAAGTAGCGATGTGCTGTCGACAAACCCCATTAAGAACAAAACGAACATACTGATGTCGTTGAAATATGGTATGATCATCATAATGTATCTGTATCGCTAAACGCCTAGATTGTAGACAAGTGAATATGTTTTTATCGATATTGCTCGTTCTCGGGAAACAACAAAACTTAGAATTCTTTATAATTTTTCTAATTTGGTTCAGAGTTTTCTATTGTCGTACGCTTCACCTTATTATTCAACGTATTTCTTGCGATATTTTGGTTTGAGTTTTTACAAAATGGGTTTTCACTTTTTAGTGTTTACCAAAAAACTTTTGAAGGAAGAATTACAATGCACTTCTGTAACCAGATCAATAATTTCATTTTAATTACAGATAATTGATTGATGTTATAAAAGCTATGGGCCTACTGCTATATGGATCGAGTCTTCTTACTTTTCAATGGTTGGTTTGGTCAAAACCATCCTGAAAAGTAGAAACTTAAAAGACGTGGTCCGTGGTATAATGAGAGGCCTAAAGTTTAGTTGCATTCTATCATTAAGACACCTTTTCGACAGTACGTAAAACGTTTTCCATATTTGCTCAAACGCATCCATTAAGGTGAGACCATATGAGAAAAATACCATGTATGTACGTATCTTTTAGCAAATAAAAAATGTATGTACGTATCTGCATGGTGTCGAACTTATGATTGATGATGACTTTGATATACACTCAAATCTCTCTACAATATATGATTTTAGAACTATCCAACCTTGTTGATCAAGATTCCACCTCACATACATACATGCCTCGTTTGTTCTATATCCTATCTGATGTGTTTTGGTAAGAGAGTTTATTTTCTGTTTTATAAATTCTACTTCCTTCACATGCGGCTCATCTCCAAGTACCAAAGCCCAATTCTAGTGAGATTCATGGTCACTCATCGACTAGAAACAAGAAAGAAAGTTTAATTTTCTTAAATACCATAACAACAAGGGCACATATAGCTTACTTAGCAAAAAAATGTTTATTATTGAATTTCTTTTTCATGATCAAACTCGCTTACAATTTTGAGAAATGTTGTGTACATAAATAAAAATTTTGAGAAAATGTTAACAAATTGAAATTCAATAAATAATTATAACTGAATTTCTATAACTAAATTTAGGCCTCATAAATAAGAAGATTTCTAAATTGAAATTCTACAAATTCTTATTATTTTTGACTAAAACTAAATCAATGCAAAAACATTCTTCTTAACATTTACTCGAATCTTATAACTCGTGAATCTGATAAATTTTCTTAATCTTACAAGTTGAGAAATGCTAATCTAAATAAATAACAAAATATTCAAGAAGATGTTAAGATGTATCTTTTCGAGAATTATTTCGTTTCACATAGAATTTCGTTTTTATAAATTTAATCAATAACAAAAAGAAATTATAGAATGTAAGATTTTAAAAAATAATAATATAAAAAAAAAAAGATAAAGAATGCAACTAAACTTGGGCCTCTCATTATTTCAGCATTTACATTCAAGAGGCTTAAAGCTAAAGCCCAGAGGTCCATCAGTGTCGTCTTTGACTCAAACTGAACTGATGCAGAAGTTCTGATTCTGATACACAAACATTCTCAGAAAATAACAACTCAAGAACATACCAAACCAACCTGAGGAAGATTGAAGATCCTACAAGTTACACTAATTCATTAAAAAAAAAAAAAAAAAAAAAAGTAATAGACACAACATTTTTTTACAGCTTGACATGGTCTCGCAAACCAAACCAACTGATTCCAAGTTCTCACTTCACTTGACATGGTCAATAAGCCAAGCGAGCATGTCTTTGTGGGCTTCCTCTGCAGCTTCAACTTCTAATGGATCATTCACGTTGTACCTTACAGTCCAACCATGTTTGACTCGTGGGAATATCTTCACAAAACTTTTCACCTGAAACAATCACTTCGCTTGCTGATTAAAGATATGTTCATTCTTTAAACACGACAGAAACTAGAAACTGTAATGAATTACCTCTGGTTTAGTATCTAAAACGTCTTCGAATTGCTTCACAAGTTCTGGAGGGGACACTTGATCGAGTTCAGCTCCTAATACAGAAATTGGAACCTTGACCCCTGCTTCAATCACATTCATCATATTATCATTCAAGAATCATGATCACAGAAATGTAGAAGGAAAGCAAGTAAAAGAGTGGCTATCTAATTACCCTTGATATCATCCACTGTAACACGAGAAGGATGTAACAGAACAGTAGCTTCAACAAGCTCTTGTTTCGCAAGTTCCACTGCAACTTTTGCTGTAATCAATGCACAAAAGTAAACAAAAGGAAGCTCTTCTTGTGTTAGCCTTGCTCCTGGAAGAATGTTTTCTAAAGAGTTGTATAAGGGAAGAAGAAAAACCAAACTCACCACCCCAACAGAACCCTACTGCTCCAATTGCAGTTATGCCTTTGTTCTTCAAGGCCTCCACTATTGGCTTTGAGTCCTCAAAAGCCTTATCCTACAAAACCAATGGATTGGTTTTAAAAAGACTTAGGGATAATGTATTGTCTACGTTCTAGCTTTGCAGTCATCAATGAAAACAAAAAATCATTTAATCTTGATCATACATGAAAGTAGACCACTACACAAACCTCAGGAACAAACTCATTTATGTTTAGACAAAGAAAAGCAAAAATTGATTTGGAACACTTATAAAAAGAACTAACTTGTTCATGATCTTTTATCCAGATAGGAAGTGGTCGATCTTGATTCGCTGGATTATAAGGATCTCCATGGAAGAAATCAGGAACCAACACATAAAATCCAGCTTCTGTAACCTTGTCAGCAAGTTTCCTGTAACAAAACAGCAAAAAAAAACCAAAGCAAGTTACAATGAAAACTTATTTAAATCTGTGATGGAGAAAACCAAAAAAAAGCTTAGTGGAAACATAAAGTCCAAAACTTTCTTATACAATTACCATCAGAAACTATCACCAAGAGACAAAACTCTCATTGACACAAAGAATGTTTACAAGCAAACCCCCTAAATATCTCTAGTCACTCGGAATTTACTGCAAAAGCTCAAGAATTTCAGAAATGTTGTTTATTTACAGCAATGTCCATAAGAAGACTCTTCCAAAACAGATCAAGTTTCCATTTGAAACAAACGAATGTAGACTATTGGGTTTCATTACTACCAAAATGTGACACGAATCTACAAATCAACTAAAAGGTATACACTTTCATAAGCAATTAAGAACAAAAATTTTGTTTTTGGTCAATCCAATCAAGAACAGATTCGAATGCGATTCTAGTGGGGCATCTACAGTACCTCAGTTGTGGAGTTTCATATCCTGCAGAAAAAAAAAAAAAAATTGTTTTTTTAGATTCTCAAAATCAAATCAAATTCATAAAGATTGATCCTTTCGAAAGAACACTATACGAAATCGGAGAGTTAGAAACTGAGTAAAAAAGGGCTTACCGAAAACATGAGAGACGAGAACAACGGCGAGCTTTGAATGAGTGGAACCAGAGACGTATGTGTCGAGACCACCAAGTTTCTCGACATGACCCGACCCGCTATTTGGATCCAGATTGGGCGGGTTCTCGGTACACTGATGATGATGAACCGACATGTCTTTCTCTTCGCCGGAGCAAAAACAAAAGGCTCCTTCTCTTAATACAATACGTAAATCCACCTAAACACCACGTGTGTATCTAATCTTCCACCTAAAGAGCCCACGTGCGTTAATTAAGATTTTCTTTAGCATGCTCATTACTCCCATGTCATATGTTTTAACAAGATCAGACCACCAAGACTTAAGTGTTCTTCTAGCCGGGGGAGCTACCGGACTTCAAACCCTGTGGCTGGAATACCAAACCAAGTGGTTTGAGACAGCATCCAAAGTCAAGTGAGCTGAGACCTGAGTTCTCAAGTCTGCATGCAGAACCGCTCAAGACACCGCTCAAGACATTCTGTGTGTAGCTTATTGTATTTACCAAAGTTAAGCACATGAGATGACATGACTATAGCTTTTGTATTTACCAAAGTTAAGAACATGAGATGACATGATTCTATATCTATGTAGCCCTCTTGTGTGTTGTTGGTTTATATATTGCAAAATCTTTTCAACTCAATGCAGAGAGTACACAAAAGCAAAAGTCAAAAAAGAAACTCATAAACTAGTGGCAAAAAACTGGATATACACAATGGAACAACTGTTTGCACTCTTGTATTCAGCCACCTAATAGAGTAACAAAACAAAACAAAAAGCATATACTAGTGTAGTAGTATGTATCTATATGAGTTTTTCACAGCCTACATCTATTTGTATTTCTACATAGTTGATATACATAGTAAAACAAAATGTTTGTACAGCCAAGTACCAAAAAAAGCAAACTCTCATCTTCTCTGTCACAATCTCATCTTCTTCTACACTTGGTAGGCTCTTTCAAAAGCCAACAGCGCATCCTGTCCATAGAAGTTCAATCTGAGACTGTCTCTGGAGCTGTTGATAAAGGCAAACAATGGAGAAGGAAGAGATCCATTTTGCAGCATGAACTCTTTGATGTATGTCTTAAGAACATAGTACCCAAGCTTGTACCTTGCAAAAAAAATTTTAATTTACGTAAAAATTGTACAATTATAATTGAAGAGAGAGTAAAGAAAATACATGAATAAATAAAATTTAAATTTGAAAAATACAATAGAATTGAAGAAAGTAAAAGGAATACAAGAATGAAGAAAAACTTAAATTCAAGAATAGTATAATCCATGGAAATTGACAACTTTTTTTGTCTTATAATCACTTAAGAAAAATATAATTTAAATACTGTTTGAAATTGACAAATGCCACCTTCCAACATATATTTTAAATATTTTTTTAATCAAATCTTTGAATAAAAAGTTGAAGTTAAATCACCATATTTCTTTTAATGTATTAAATAAATTTTATAAAATACATTAAACATTAGTAAATTTATTGAAAAAAAAATAATAGTAATATTTAGATAATCCCAAGTAATAAGATAAAATTTCAACCAAAGAAAAAGTAATAAGATGAAATTAATAAAGTTGTTAATCTATATGATTAAAGAAAAGCACAATATAATGTGTTATATAATTAGTTTATGTATTACCCTCACCTTTATATAAAAAAGATTATTTATCAAATATATTTATTGTAGAGAAATTCCTTAAAAATATTTACACAAAAATATTAAAAATAATAAATTACTCAATGAATCACTTTAATTAATTGAATGATTTTATGAGAGTGGAAAATCTACTAATAGAAAAATAATCCAAAAAATTGTTCGAACTTTGAATTAAATTATTTTACGGTTATAAAATTTCTTTTATTTGGTCAAACTTATAAAGTAACAATATGGGAGAATTTGTTGATTTTGTCTTAATACCTTAACTTTAATTTAAATTATAAAAAAAGTTAAGTTATTATGATGAAATCAATCATCTCAAGTCTGAATTGCAGGTTCAATATCGTATGGAAGAGGAGTACTGGAGATTAAAAAGTCGCATGGAAATTAAAAAGTCGTATTCTCTGGCTCCAAGTTGGAGATAGAAATACCAAATATTTTCATGCTAAAACCAAGCAAAGGAGAGCTTATAATCGCATTCTTCACATACATAATGAAGTAGGTCAACTTTGTCTTAAACCTGAAGAAGTTCAGCAAGCCATTGATCTCTATTTTACGAAGCTTTATACTACTAATGGTTGCTCTATTGATTATGAAATTCTTCAGGGTATTCCTACAACTATCACTGCTGAGATCAACTGTGAGCTTACTAAACCAGTGATGGACGATGAAATTCGTAGGGCAGCTTTCTCAATTAATTCGGATAAAGCTCCAGGTCCAGATGGTATGACAGCGGGTTTCTATCGTCATCATTGGTCAGTAATTAAAGAAGGTGTGTGTTCCTTTGTTCGCTTGTTTTTTGAAGGAAATTATCTGGATTCGGATATAAATCATACCCACATTTGCTTAGTCCCTAAGACTCACTCTCCGGATATGGTTAAGGATTATAGACCCATTAGTTTAACTAATGTGGCTTATAAAACAATCTCAAAGATTTTAAGCGAACGTTTGAAACCATGGTTACACACCATTATTTCTGATAATCAGTTTACTTTTATTCCTGGAAGATTAATTACGGATAATGTACTGATTGCGCATGAACTGTTACATTCCCTTCACACAAAAAAATTATCCACTGATTATATGGCTTTAAAGTTAGATGTGTTTAAAGCTTTCGATCGTGCATAGTGGACTTTTCTTGATGTCGTTATGAAGCAAATGGGGTTTAATAGCCAATGGAGAGAATGGATTCGGCTATGCCTATCTGCCATCTCTTATTCAGTTCTAATCAATGGATCACCATCAACCAAAATCATTCCCACAAGAGGTATTCGCCAAGGTGATCCTATCTCTCCCTATCTTTATTTAATCTGCACTGAAGGATTATCTCAGCTTATTAAGTGTCAAATCCAACGTCATCAACTGCACGGTTATAAAGCATCTAGAGGCGGCCCAAGTATCTCCCATCTTCTGTTCGCTGATGATTCTCTTCTTTTCTGTAGAGCTACAGAAGAAGAGTGTAGCAATTTATTGGATATTCTCTCCAAATATCAGCGAGCATCAGGTCAGGAGATTAACTATGCTTAATCGGTTGTTACATTCAGTAAAGGTACTCCTCATAATATTCAGCAGCTTATTATACAAAAAACCGGCATTCAAAAGATTGGAGGTCTAGGAAAATATCTTGGCTTACCGGAACAGATTGGTAGACGTCGTAAAGATGTTTTCTCTTATGTCATGCAGCGTGTGCAAAACAAGCTTGACAGCTGGTATAATCGCTTTCTCTCCCAGGCGGGTAAGGAAGTACTGCTTAAAGCTGTCATTACCGCCCTTCCTACCTATAATATGTCTTGTTTTAGGCTACCAAAAAGAATTTTGGAGAAAATTATTTCAGCTATGAGTAACTTTTGGTGGTCAGGAATTAAAGGTCAGCATAAGATCCCTTGGATTGCCTGGGATAAGATCACTTCATCGAAACGGGATGGAGGACTGGGCATTCGAGATTTGCAAGACTTCAATATCGCCCTATTAGCTAAACAGGCATGGCGAATAATACAATGTCCCACCTCCTTAATGGCAAGGGTTTTCAAAGTTAAGTACTTTCGCCATACCTCTTTTGTGGAAGCTAAAAGCTATCCTACTTCTAGTTATGCTTGGCGCAGTCTTATTCAATCACAGACTTTGCTTCATTATGGCAGTCGCTGGGAGATTGGTCATGGAGCTGATGTCTCTGTTTGGAGAGATCACTGGCTTCCTACGGAACCACCATGAGCTCCGAAGTCTTTGCATGTATCTCCAAATTCTGAGCTTCGGGTTAAACATCTTATTAACTCGGCCACTCGTCAGTGGGATACAAATATTCTTGACAGACTAATAGTTCCAGAAGATATCCCACATATATTGAAGATTCGCCCGAGTTTATTCTCAGCTCCAGATGTTCTTTCTTGGACTTATACGCAAGATGGTCTGTATACTGTCCGATTTAGATACTATGTCCAACGTATGCTTTTGCGAGAAGCTGCTAATCAATCCCAAACATCCTCTCTACCTCAGGAAGCTATAAAGGTATGCAATCAGTTATGGAAACTTAGTCTCCCCCCCAAAAATAAAAATTTTGTGGTGGAGGATTATGCATAATAGTCTTTCTGTTTTTGCCAATTTGCTAAGGCACCATATAAACATTGATAATACTTGCCTTACTTGTGGAGACCACATTGAAACAATTAATCACTTATTATTCCAATGTAGTGTTTCCAAGAAAATCTGGGAATTGGCTGCTTCGCTCCAATCTTCTACTCAGAGTTGTCAAAATTCCCTCTTGCAAAGCATTCAGTATTGGCTAGAGATATTTCGAGCAGCCCAAGCTGAAACTTTAGTCTTCTTCCTAGGTTGGCGGATCTGGAAGATGCGTAATAAGCTCATCTTTGAACATACGAGAGAACATATTCTACATGTTATCCGTATGACTCACATTGATAAAGCTCAGTGGGAAGATTCACTGGTTGCGCAAGTTCCTCCTACTCTGCCATCTTTACCAGTAACCACTGTATCTATCCCTACCATTATGGATCATATAGAAGATGTCTCTGCCTATTATTGTTTAGTTGATGCGTCGTAGATATCATCTTCCCAATGTGCAGGTATTGGATGGTCCTTATATAGCAAAGAAGGCGTCAATCTGCTCCAAGGAAGTTCTTCCATATCTTCGACACTTAATATGCTTCAGGGAGAAGCAATAGCTCTACTAATGGCTATTGAACGTCTTCGTATCTTAGGATATCATCATGTAACTTTTGTTGGTGATTGCAAAATGTTATATGACATCCTCCAATCTTGTTCTAGAGGAAAGCGCAAGGAAGTACTGTCTCACTCACCTTCATCTATTGCAACTGTCCTTCATGACATCCTTCATCTCTCAGCTTCCAGTTTTTTTATGTTTAGGTATGTTCCTCGGATGTTACTACAGGAAGTAGACCTTCTTGCCACAACAGCAAGAAAACAGAATAGTACTGTACCTATTGTATTCGATGGTTTGTATAACTTTCTAAGTTTTTTAATACAAATGACGTCAAAAAAAAAAAGTTATTAATTTAAATTTTCCTAGTAATATCTTACGTTGACAATCACGAGGAATCAGTCGCTTTCCTGAGACAAAAACAAAAAACACAATACAGAGCG